TTCAATAGAGGAAGGTGCTGCTTCCTCAGAGAATGGTGGAGTCCTTCTTTTGAGGTTTTTAAGACTGGATAACCATTTGCCATAGGGAGTACTTTGGTTGTGTCTTCCAGCATGCCTGAAGGGGGATGGACTGGATTGCCCTGGGGGTCCCCTCCAACTGGGATTCTGCACCTTTCATTCCTAAATTCAGTTGCACAAAGGTGCCATTCAATGCAATGGCTGCCCAGCACAATGAAAGTGTTATTTCGAACGGAAGCTATAAAACAACATGATAAAATAACAGGACCCCCAATTAAAACTAACACGGCATCATAAAATGCATCCAATAAATAAAATTAATTAAATAATTATGCTGCTCAGACATGAGGTAAGATAGCAGCACATGCCATTGGCCACATGAAAAATCCCCCAGTTTCCTCAGCTTTTCTAAGCCAAGAATCATTTCATTGTGAACAAGAGGGTTCAAAATAATCCAGCGATATTTACTCCAGCAGAAACATTGATTCTGGTTCACCTGCTTCTGTGCCTCTTCCCCAGGTATCCTATTCCCTGCTTTTCCATCCTTGCCTGCTTCTTTCTTATCCCCTCCCCACTTATTCTTATTCCCCCATTCTTTCTCTCTCTCTCTCCCCCCAACATTTATATTCTGCCTTTCTCCAAAACTGGGACTTGTGGTGGCTTACAAAATTAACTACTGATAAAAACACACAGAGAGACTATGCGAAAACACACAAAACATTAACATGCAATTAAACTGTCTGCAGAATTGAAACAACTCCATTAAATGAATCAAAGTTGTTTTTTTTTAAAAAAAAACAAACCACACCAATATAACAGTATGCTATTAAAAACCCTGGCAGTCAGTTCCTAAAAGCCTGTTGGAAAAGCAAAGTTTTCGCTTGCTGATGGAAGCATATATATGGAGGAGAGAGCCATATATCCTGGTGGGGTTGCAAAGACTGGGAGCAACAACCAAGGAGACTTTCTAGCAAAGGTAGCTATCTATGGAGGTGTTGAGAGTGGGAGAAGAGCCTCTCCTGGGTATTTGAGGGCCCTGGAAGACTTGTGTGTAGAAATAGGGGGTGGCATTTTGTTAGGGAGTAGCTCACGCTACATATGCAGGATAAATCATTAACCTTAGCATAATGCACATATTTTTGCTGAAAGCAGCAAAAGCCAAGCGATGCACACAGCAATGTTGTGCAGATCGTGCATTTCATATTGTGGTTGCACTTTGCATATTGTACATCAGGTACTGAATTTTCTGTTAAAGAGGTAATCCCCAGGAACACATCCTCTTCATTACTTGGAGGTATACCTGGACTCTTTACACCCCTACTATGAATTTTCTGGGGCCTAAATACTGTAAAGGTACCAGATCCCATCAGATCTCAGAAGCTAAGGAGCTGGGAAAACCACCTCTATGGATTCCTTGCCTAAGAAATCCCTATGAAAAATTCATGAGGTTGCCATAAATTGACAGGCAACTTGAAGACACATGCTCACACACAACTAAATATCCTAAAGGCATCAGATCCTATCTGATTTTGGAAGCTTAGCAAGGTCAAGCCAGGCTAGTACTTGGAAGAGAGACTGTCAACAAATACCAAGTGCTGTAGGCTCTATTTGAGAGGAAGGAACTAGCAAAAACAACCTCTGATTATTCCATGCCTAAGAAAATCCTATGAAAAATTAATGAAGTTGCCATAAGTCAACAGGTGACTTGAAGGAATATGCATACACGCGCATGAATCTTCCAGAGAGCTAAGACTGGTCATGGATGCTGGGCTCACATACTTCCCCATAGAATTATTTAAAACAACTCTGGACTTTTTTTTTTAATTAACCTATGTCTCTCTGTTTTTACAATCTCTTTGTTTTACTTTGGGGTCCTGTGAACTCTAGTTGCAATATTTTACATTGCCTTTGATTGTATAGCTTTACATTCTGTTTTGCATTTAAATTGTGTTTGCCAATGTTTATGCATGTAAGCTGCCCACACAACTTTGCTTTGGGCAGCAATGCAGAAAGTCAAATAAATAAAATCAGAAGGGTAGCTCCGTAAAGTTGTTGACCTCAGTGGCGGGGCCTTTTCTGCAAAGGTCCAATCTTTCTGGAATACCATTTTCAAATGTTGGACCCCTCTCTGTCTCTTTCCAAAGGGGGCATTCAAATCGGGATGTTTCGGTCTGCTTTCCAATTAATGGATGCTGATGTTTATTTCCTAAACTGCCCTTGTTCCCTCTGCTGCTATTCTAAGCTTCTTATGCCGAGGTTTAAGTTGACTGCATTAAGGTAAATGTGCAAATTGTTTCTATCCAGCAGCAGCCATGTTGGGCATGCAGCAAAAGGTGTATGTTTGTGTCTTGTGTCTTGATCCCTATCAGGAAAACAGTTTCCAAAGCTCTGGACAGCTCCTTGGAATCCTGCAAGAAAACCCTTGAGTGGGTTCAATGTATTCAGTTATCTGCACTGCCTGTTTTGTTTTATTTTGCATTATGTCTGTGTGGGGGTTTCCCCATTGTATTTTAATATAGTATTTTATATTACTGAAAAGTATATACCAGTACATGTTTTATTCTGCAACTGTTTGTAAAGCACCACGAGGGAGCGAGCGTGGTGTAGTGGTTTGAATGTTTGACTATGACTCTGGAGACCGGGTTTTGATTCCCATCTTGGCCATGAAACCCACTGGGTGACCTTGGGTGAGTCATACTCTCTCAGCCTCAGAAGATGGCCATGGCAAACCCCCTCTGAAGAAACTTGTCAAGAAAACCCCATAAGTCCAAAACCACTTGAAGGCACACAGCAACAACAAGCATGAATGGCACTGTATAAATAAATAAATAAATAAATAAATAAATAAATAAATAAATAAATTAATGATGATGATGATGATATTCATTGCATCCCTGAGACATCAAAAGCCCCACTGGGTGAGATTTGAATGAATCTGCTCATCACTTTTTTGCAGACTCTAAAGGAAGTGTCCATGGTGCTGAAGTCTAGCCTGAAATTGGCTTCAGCACCATGGATAGCTTGTCTGTGTGTACAAGGGCCTTCAAATGGCTTCTTGATCTAGCGCAGTGCTTCTCAATTATTTTCTGTCATGCCCCCCCTAAGAAGAAGAAAACATTTCGCGCCCCCCGCGCGACTATAAATAGTATCATTTGTCTATAAAATTGTTATAAGTTACAATATTGTTACGGAGCCTCGCGCCCCCCCCCCCTTGAGGGGGCGCCCCACTATTTGAGAAGTACTGATCTAGTGTGACCCCAGGAGCTTTACAGGGTTTTCTTGCGATCCTGTCACATTGCAGAAATAATTGAAGCCAACGTGGCAACAGAATGGGAACATTGCCTGGTGATTCTGGGAGTCCTCCAAAAAAGGAACTTTCCCAAGCGCTGGGGATGGAGACCTCAATGGGGAACACCTTACCTTGAAGGAGGCTTTCTCAAGGCTTCTAGGGAGGCATCTACACTTCAGAATCAATGCAGTTTGACACCCCTTTCACTACCCTGGTTCAATGCTATGGCTTTTTGGGATGTGTAGTTTGGTGAGATATTTAGCCTTCATTGTCAGAGCGCTTAATGCCCCACCCAACTACATATCCTATAATATTATAGCATTGACCCATGGCAGTTAAACTAGTGTCAAACTGTTTTATTTCTGCAGTGTGACAATAGCCTTAGGTAAGGAATCCTCAGAAGTGTTTTTTTCCCCAGTTCCTTCTTCTGAAATAGAGAGCTTGGTATTCACTGCCAGTCTCCCTTCCAAATACTAACCAGGTCTGCCCTTGCTTAGCTTCCAAGACTAGATAGGATCAGGTGCCGTTAGGGTACTTAGGCTAGTAAAATAAAATTTTAAAAATCACAATGATCCCTTTTATTGTTGTTGCTGCGTGCCTTCAGGATGTTTCCGACTTATGGTGACCCATCCTCTCATGGGGGGGTTTCTTGGCAAGATTTGTTCAGAGAGGGTTTGCCACCCTTGTCTTCCGCTGGCCAACTCAAAAGTGCAACATCCATCACACAAGCTTTCGAAACTCACAGGCTTCTTCAGCAGGCACCACCAAGGTCAAAAGTGGTTTAAGGGGAAGAGACGCAACGATGGAGAGCTGCATCTTTCTTGAGATGTTAAAGCTGAGTTTAAGGTGGTGGTGGAGGGAGGTTTGATACAGGTAAAGGACACCTTGCTTGCAAGCCATGAAGCACTGGGGACCCAAAACTAAGGCAAGGCAGTACACTTTCTTCTCCATTGTTGGAAACAAAGAAAATTATTTTCAGATCTTGCTCATATCTGTCCCATGTAAAGCAACAAGCCCCTTTGTAGAAAGGATATAGACACCTCTGTACTGATGCACCTGGTAACAATATTAGGTGCTGCAAAAGGTAAAAACTCCTTTCTCCTTTCCTTTCACTCAAAGACCTTCATATGGGTTTGCCTTTGCCATCCTCCCAGGCTGAGAGAGTGTGACTTGCCCAAGTTCATCTGGTGGTGTTCCATGGCTGAGAAGGGATTTGAATCCTGTTCTCCAGGTTCATAGTCCAATGCTCCTGAGAGTAAGTGCTGTTTGACAGTGGAAGGCGCTCCTGCCTCGGAGGTGGTGGAGTCTCCTTCTCTGGAAGTTTTTACACAGGGGCTGGATGGCCATCGGTCACTGAGAGGTGTCTTCCTGCATGGCAGAAATGGGTCAGACTGGATGTCCTTTGAGTTTCCTTCCAACTGTAGGATTCTAGGATTCTGTGTATGAAGTCCTCCACCCCTGGTGAGTGGGGTGCTGTAAAAGGACGCATCACTGTGGTATTTGTTTGACAGAGAGGTGGGGTATTATTATTATTATTATTATTATTATTATTATTATTATTATTATTATTATTATTAAGCTCCTTGTGAAACCGTGGCTTGCAGTTAGGGCACATCAGCACCATGTCCACCAGGTCTCTGTCTTTCTATAAGGCTGCCTGGATCTATAAAGTGGTTTTGGGGGATGTTTGAGAGTCAGGGTATGCGTAGTGGTTTGAGCACTGGACGTTGACTCTGGAGACTTGGGTTCGATTCCCCGCTCAGCCATAGAAACCCACTGGGTGGCCTTGGGAAAGTCCCACCCTCTCAGCCTCAGAGAAAGACAATGGTGGCAAATCTCATCGGAATAAATAGCCAAGGAAAAAACATGATAGTGTTGCCGTAAGTCAGAAACTGACCTGAAGGTGTACAAAAAGAACAATGAGGGAAGCATTTGCAATGGTGGCACGGTCACAAACGCAAACGCCAAACTGTTCTGAGGTTGTAAACCCATCTCTGCCTAACAGGATGCCAGTCAATGACAGTGCTTTAGAAATAAACTTTAATAATAATAATAATAATAATAATAATAATAATAATAATGCATGTCACCTGTAAGGTATAACAAAGTCCTGTTTCAGAAATGATGCAAAGACTGTGGACAAAGTTAGCTTACTGTTGCAACAAGTCACAAAAATCCTAAAATCTTGGAATTGGAAGAGACTCCCAGGGGCCATCTAGTCCAACCCCTTCTGTCATGCAGGAAGATATAATCCAAGCCCTCCCTGGGACAGATGGCCATCCCTTCTGTTTTATGCCCCTTTCATTACTTTTAAAGGTTAGGGAAAGTTTTGAGTTAAAAAAGAAAAAGAGAGAGAGGTAGAAATGCTTATACTGAAACAGGTTACCTCTCTGAAAACCTTGTACCGTTTTTGATTTAGTTAAGTTTTCAAGGTTTTTCAGTAGCCTGGTAAAATTGCTGACACTGAAATAAAAAATGCCCTCCGTTACTTTTTTAAAAACCCGCTGTAATGAATAGCAGCAACAAATTATTTCTAAAACACTGCAGTGAGTAATGGGAACAAACTACCTTTAAAAAGATAAATGCCTTTGCAAGGTCTGGATAGGATGGAAACATTATTTAATATGGTGTGCATTTACTGGACTGTCAGACCAAACGATTTTCAAGGGACACAGCCTCAGGAGTGGTTGACCATTGCCGTCTTCTGTGCAACACAAACAAGCATTAGTTATGGTGCCACTGTGATTGTCTCTGCCAATGACAACCTCTATTATACAACCGCACCATGGAAAGGTAGTGCCATGGGGGGAGTTTAGGGGATACCCTGTACTACGAAAAGGGCAAATAAATGGATCCTAGGCTGTATCTACACTGCAGAATCATAGAGTTGGAAGGGACCCCCAAAGGCCATCCAGTCCAACCCCGTTCTGCCATGCAGGAACTCTCAATTAAAGCATAACTGACAAATGGCCATCCAACCTCTGTTTAAAGACCTCCAAGGAAGGAGAATCCACTACAATCTCCATTGAGGGAGTGTGTTCCACTCTCGAACCGCCCTTACTGTCAGGATGGTCTTCCTAATGTTGAGCTGGAATCTCTTCCTGGAGCTTGAACCCATTGTTCTGTGTCGTAGTCTCTGAACCAGCAGAAAACAAGCTTGCTCCTTCCTCAATATGACACCTCTTCAAATACTTAAACACGGCTATCATATCACCTCTCAGCCTTCTCTTCTCCAGGCTAAACATCCCCAGCTCCCTAAGTCCTTCCTCATAGGGCTTGGTTTCCAGACCCTTCACCATTTTAGTTTCCCTCCTTTGGACACGCTCCACTTTCTCAACCTCCTTTTTGAATTGTGGGGCCCAGAACTGGACACAGGATTATTCCAGGTGAGGCCGGACCAAAGCAGAATAGAGTGGCACTATGACTTCCTAGAACTAATACAGTTCAACACCATTTTAACTGCTATGGGATTCTAGGATTTGTAGTTTTGTGAGATATTTAGCCTTCTCTGTCAGTGAGTTGTGGTTCCACAACAAACTACAAATCCCAGGATTCCATAGCATGGAGCCATGGCAGTTAAAGTGGTGTCGAACTGTACTAATTCTACAAAGTAGATGTAGCCCTCAAATAAATCAGGCCTGATCTCTCCCTAGAAGCCAAGATGACTAAACTGAGGTTGTTGTACTTTGGACATCTTTTGAGAAGACAGTACACACTAGAAAATTTCAATCATGCTTGATAAGGTGGAAAGGAGTAGGAATAGAGGAAGACAGCATTCCAGAAGGATAGATTCAATGAAGAAAACCATGGCACTGAGTCTGCAACACCTGAGCAGGGCTGTTGGGAAGAGAGTGTCCTAGAGGTCTCTCATGCATAGGATCACCATAGGTCAAAGTCAACTTGACGGCAGTTAACAACAACAACAACAACAACAACACTTACGGGAACCTGGGGAGGAAAATCCACACTGCAAAACTCATCAAATCATAGAATCATAAAGTTGGAAGAGACCCCCAAGGGCCATCCAGTCCAACCCCATTTTGCTATGCAGGAACTCAAAATCAAAGCACCCATCCAGCCTCTGTTTAAAGACCTCCAAGGAAGGAGACTCCA